GGGTCATAATGGAAGAGAAGGCTCCAGGGAGAACTTACAGCACCTTCCAGTACCCAAAGGGGGCCTCTTCAATGTGCTTTGAAAGTGTGAAGGAAGCAGCAGCAAAATGGAAGGCTGGAGGTTTAGGAAGATGCAGTGCTAACTTTTGTAATTAACAGCAATGCCCCCATTGGAACACGGCGAATGAGCCAAGGGAAGCCAAGACTCCACGAAAATCAGGATTTGAAAGCAAATCGCCTGCATCCAATTTGACTGGATTAGGTTTTCTTCCTTACTACTCTCCACATTTTTTTTTTAATTATAGAAGCTGCCAACAACTAGTTTAAGAAAATATTCTCTGAAGTCCCCTGAAGAGAGAACAAAGATAACTTTTGATACAGTTGACATTACATAATTAAAGTCACTCCTTGCTTCCCTTCCCACCACAAATACAGTTTTGTTACATCAATTTCTCTGAGACTCAGTAGTCTGGAGCTACACTTTCACCAATATTAGTCTCCCTTTTTCTAGATATGATAGGTTTGTAGAACAATTTGTTGTATGCCAGTGTTTAAAGGACTGTCAATCTAGAAAGTCTTTAATTTCCTCCTTCCATGGCACACAGACCTTAAATCATTGACCACAGTAGTCAAGCATGAAACTAAAACAGAGCACAGATCTACTTACTCTGATTGTCTCAAACTAAAGTACTGTGAGAGAAAGCAGCTGTGAGGGTACACTTTTGTCTCCTCCCGTCTCCCAGGACTAGCAAGGATGGAAAAGTAGTATGTGAAAAAAGAGCAAGAGGGCTACTGATAAGAAAGGGAGTGCAAGGATGATTCAGAGTGATCTGAGCATCACTGTGATAAAGAAAGTGATTGTTCTGAAACTCAGAGCTTTTTCTCAGGCTGAAAATGCTTTTGTTTGTCTGTTTAAAATGAAGTCAAGCTGATTATAAAGCAGGCCTTTATTCAAGCCCAAGAACTGCTACAATTAAATGACACACAACCTTCAGGGCCAAGTTCTTTATCCTGCAAGTTGCTAACTATGTCGAGGCTGGGGAGCAATCTCAAGCTGCCATGGATCTTAGGCTATTTTTAGGAAGAAGGCTACCATGAACTTCAGAGGAAACATTTAAAGTATTTCAGGATGGAAACTTCAATCACTGAATTGCAAGAAATTAACTTAAAGGGAAGCATTAGAAAGCATGCAATTGTTTTCAAGGAAATTTAGGAAAGATGCATATGCTTGCATTTGTGGAGAAGCTGCTTGTTCTGTGAAAGAACTGCTTGCCCTCTAAAGCACATAGTTAATAACTGTCCTCCCAAAACCCCTGCTTGTGTGATGCAGTTATAAAACCACTGCATGTGCGCAGTGAGAGTAATGAAAATCACGGTATCTATATGCAGCATTCGGAAGCACTCTTTGAAAAGTCAGATTTTCAAAATATACATATTCATACTTCAAAAACAGAGAATAAAAACATTTTAGAACATCAAAAAAATCCCCCAAACCTCCCTCATGTATATTGTTATTTCTGGTTTTACAAGTTTGGGGTTTTTTTTCATTAACTGCAACAATCTAAAAATTCAAGTTTCTGGGCTCCCCTTTTAGAATTTCCATTTTCACCTCCCACAAGAGATACTTTGACTCTGTTCGTCTTTGAGTCCACAGATTACAAATGCAAGTACACCCAACCCACCCACTCCTCCTCTCCCATTTTAAGTTTCTGCTACATGTTTGTAGCAGGGTCTGATTTTCTTCACATCACATAAAAACTCCGCAGACCAAGTGATAAAATATAGTCCTACTGTACTCATGGACACTTTTAACACACACACGACATCAGTGTCTGTGGTCAGCAGGCAGGGTTTTAAAGCACAGCAAGCTCAAAGCAGCTGTTGATTTCACAAACACACATTCCTAGAAAAAATGAAAGAATAAAGGCTGTGCAGAGAAAGAAAATCTTTATTGAAATATTGTAGTACCAAGCTTAAAAACTCATAAGATCTACAAAAAACCCTTATCATTAAGATTCTTCATACAAATTCCTTCTACTTTACAAATACAGTGATGTGTGCAAAACTCTTGAACTTTTACTTGAGGAAATCATTCACACAGATGCAAACTCACAGTGATAACATGCTTGGTACTATCTGTCTTATGCCACAGAGAAGATCAAATGGCCAGTGCTACTTATTAAAGTTGAGTTTTTATAGCAAGATGCATTTCTCAAAATTACACAGCAAAATGCTGTAATTAAATATAAATATATGAGGTAGGGTTATACAGAAGTGCTGACCAAGAAAGGATGTAACCACTGAGGCACCAAGCTGTGGTCAGTGTGTAACTCCGGGCTCACCCAGATGGAAGCTGCCAGGGCCCCCTCGTGGTCACGACGCGCACGATAATCGCACATGCTCTTGTGCCTCACTGCACCTGCACATTTTTAAAATCAACGGAGCCAATGAAAGCGCCCCTGTCACCACTGCTGTGACAGAGCATGCTGGCAAACCTTAACTGGGGCACAAGAATCCTTCTTACAGGCAATGAGTGCCCTGGGGTTTTCCCAGCCTTACTAAAAGCCAAGACACTTCCAGCACTTTGAGTAAATGACAGTTGTACAAATTATCACAGTAGAGACCAAGACCCTCTGTGACACTGGACAAAAGAGCACACAGGAAGCAAAGAACAGGACATGCACATAGTTCCAGTCCCACTCCCCAGCTGCAGGTACACTTTGGGGTGATTGGGAGTGGGGCTGCAGCTGAGCCTCATCCCAATGGACACAGCTGTGAGAAGCAGGTGAACAGCACTGACAGCAATGAGCCGCGGAGCGCCAGGGGCACTGAACGACCACCAAAGGGAGCAGAGGGCACACAGGGGCAGTCATGGACACGAGGAGTATGAAAGGTTGGGCTAAAGAACACGACGAGACACTTGCAGCCTTCTGAAGTGATACAGTGTTACTCTGCACGGGCAGATGCCTGAAGCCTTCAAAAGTGGCGTTACTCTGTATGGATTGAAGCTTTATGACATTGTATGATGATACTCTGCTGTGGCACGTGCTGCAACACCTACCATTCTATGGCTCAGGACTTGATACCTTAATGGTGTCTTTCTATTTAGCAGATCAGTTTTTTTCTTGAGCTTGCCCAATCTTTTTCTAAGGCCCATCAAAGACTTTAGCACTCCTAATTCCTGGATGAAAAGAGGCCAGAGGTGTTCTCATTACAGGCAGTATTTCTTAGTTCTGCATGGAAATATACATATAAAATTATGCTTCCTCTGTAACACTGAAAGACTCAAGAACCACTACCATCTGCAAATCAGAAACAAGGATCCAACAGATTTTCATGCCAGAACTGTTGCAAGCAGCTTGTTTATCCCAGGGAATAAATCTGCTCCTCTAATACAGGGGTCATACTACCTGTCCTTGCTTCAAGACAGTGTCACAACTCACAAAGCTCAGTGCAAAGAGGCACACAGTGATATCAGTGTCACTAAGAAGTAAATGAAGTCTAAAGAGTGCCTCATTTAAAGGTCCACATTCAGGCCTGACTATGACCTTCCATTCCATTTGTTAAATGTGGGGCTCAGACATTTCTCCTTGGATGATTACCATGACCCCTCTCTGCCAAAGACATCTTTACATAGTTTAAATCAAAGAACTGCCTTAGGTCACATTTATCCCCATCACTCAAATTGATACAGGTCACTTAGTAAATATTCTTCACTGATCTCATTTATGAAATGGAATGTTGTATTTTAAGGCTAACACACTCTCTTAGGAATATGCCATAAAGCCATGGATATTTGTTAGTTAATCCATGAATATAATTTAATTCAGTTCAGAAACAAGCTTGCTTATAGATTTCCAGGTTAGACACAAAACAGGAAGTTAGGTACAGTTCAGATTCCAAAATGTCAATTTCCCTGTAAAACCCCCACAGCATTTCTATGTTTCTGCTGTTTGCTGCACAACTTTTTAAAACTAGCACATTTCCAAAATAACCAGGAACATTTCACAGATGTGTTTTCAGTGTTGATCATTTAGGCAGCCCAGAATTTTAAGAACATTTTAAGTGTTTATAATCCTCTCAAAACTGAGGATATGTTGGTGCTGCCTGAGGTTAGCATGATAGTACACTGAGATTATTTACCTGCCATGCAAAACAGGTGGAGTTCAAGCTACCCCACTTAAAAACTTCAATAAACAAAAAAAACCCCCACGTAAATAGAACTGAATTGTCAGGGCACAACAAGGGACTTTATTTTCAGTCACTATCACAACTCAGAATGACACAGATATCAGACTTGAACATAAGGACATGTACTGTTCTGATAAGCTGAAATTAAACTTTTCTTTCTCACTAGCTAACTTAACCCTCCCCTTTTTAAAAAGAAATAAAAACCTTTTAAAAAGAAATAAAATCTTTTTTGCTGAAAGTATCATTCTTGCATGTCTACCTTCTTGTACACCATGTGAGAACAAACCACAAACTTATAAATCATAACTCTGTTCTGCAGCAGAATGCCTGAAGTTAACCCGTTTATGACCGACTATGAGCATTTAAGCCCTATTAAGTTTGAATACTGGTGCTTTTATCAGTGTTTTCAAAATGAGGTGATAAGTCTTCTAACAGGAGCATCAGCAAAATGTCAGGAGTCTTATGGCAATCCCATTAATATTTCTTCTGAACAGATGATTTAAATCATTATCTGGAAAACACAAGAAGTTTCACTTAGACTAATAGAAGATGGAACCTGGTGACATAATTATCTGTTTCTAGAGTGTACATGGACAAATTGTTTCAAGTCTTATCAGTAGGTAAAAGTGTTTATCCTCTGAGTGCTGCATATTGCATAATCCAAAAGTATTTGACCACACTAAATATTTTATTAAAAAGCATTCTGTTAAGCTTAATATCTCATAGGCCAATCTCATAAAACTACAATAACTACAAATTCAGTACTTCTATTCAACCTAGTACACAAGACTTCTGAGAAGCCCTCCAGCATTTTATAGCAGTTTTTTCAGTGTTCAGCAAACGTTACTCTATTTGCTAAACAATATCAAACTGCAAAATTGCTCTTACTGTTGACAGATCAATAATGACACGGGAAAAGTCATTATCTCCGTGGCAACAGAGTGGCAGCTGTGGGAGGAACATAGCGCGTGCCGCTGCTGCGCTCCGACAGCCATGCCTCGGCTTCCTCCCGTGCTGCTCTCTCTGCAAGCCTGGTATGCCCAGGGTACCACCAGCCAAGGGCACCTCTTAGACCACAGAGGATTAAATACAGCGCTGCTGGCGTGATTGCTGAAAGAAAACATGCTTTCATATATTCATGAATATGGTGTGTTACACTTGAGGCTGATGTCTTTATGGTACTTACTTCTAATGAACCATCCGTTTGTAGGAATAGCTAGGACAAAATTCAGCAAGGCCAATACCACACTATTCTGTTCGTAGCCCAATATTTTGTTGAAAGAAATCACTTAGAAATCACAATAAAAAGATATCTTTCTTGTCAATCAATTTTTATTTAATTCCACTTTGACTCCCCAAAATCTAGAAGTGGCAGGAGTCTTTATACCTCATTAAAATGACAAAAGAGACCCTTTGGGATATTAAATTTAATACTTGTCATGTCTTGGTATATTGAAACAGTCCAACAAATAGGACAACACACTTTTGCTCTGCATAAGTTACTGCAGTTCCATCTAGCACAAACGGAACATTTTTTTTCATACTTCACAACCTTCACCATGTTAATCACAACATATTAACCACAGAAAGCCAAAACTCCTCTGTGTCTTGATCACCATGGCTGAGCCTGGCGTGTGATGTTTTGCTTTCAGCAACTCACCAAACTCACAAAATACATGGTGCTCATCAGTAACACAAGATATGAACTTTGCCTTCAGATGAAACATGGAAAGTATTTCCTCATAAACACATCTACTTTTAAATACTGCAGCAACACTGTATTCATAACCTATTCACATGGGATGACAAAGGGCAAGTTTGCAACAATTCCCTTTGCAATCTGTTCTTAATAAATTTAAATAAAAGGCAACAGAAGCGATCCTGAGGGTGGCTTCAAAAAAATCAAAACGAAGTTGTCACTCAAGCATCAGATGGATTCCACAAAAAACAAGAATTAGGCAAGCACTCTTCTGAATGCTGAAAACAAGCTGGTCTGTAAAACTCTCACAAGAACAGAACCGGATGGTAAAATTTCTTTTCCTTGCAAATATAAACATGAGAAATGGTCATTAATATACCAAAAGTCCAGATGCTACAGCTGCAATATAAATTACCACTCAAAATACACTGTGACTTGTTATTTGTGAGAGACTGTATTTTAGTACAGAGGAAAACTCATCAACATTTTGTTCTACTTACAGGATAGGCCCTGCTGCTTTAGGAGACCGCCACGCTGTGCGCCAAGTTCTTGGAAAGCATACGGCATCTGCCCGGGAGAGCGAGCAAAGCTGGCTGCACGGGCGGCCGTCTGCAGGACACGTTCCAAACGCAGTTCTTCTCTGGATAACACTAGGCAGTTCTGCCCTTGCTGCAGCCCCGACTGAACCATCCTTCTGCGCAGGCAGCCAGCCCAATCTTGTTCCCATTTTTCCATCCCGCTGCCACCCCTGCCACGTGCTCGGGAGAAAAGGCCAAGCTGTACAAAACTACTCGGGTCTCCACCATCAGCACCAAGCCCGAAAAGCACCGCTACTTTCTCAGGGACAAACCGCCCGCTCTATCCCATCAAAAATCATCCGAACTCGGACAAATGAACGCAGTCAAATCGGTGCCCGGACACAGCCAAAGCCAGGAAAGATGCAAGAGTTTGCATCTCCACATGCAGGAGTTTGCCGGCTGCCCACATACAGCCTCCGCCGCCTACGAGGACAGAAGGTGCCGACTGAACGGCGCCGCTCGCCCGAGAGCGGCTTCCCCGCTCTCACTGGCGCACCTGGCCCGCTTCAGCCCCGCGGCTTCACCCCGCCCCGCACAGCCGGCGGCATGCAGCGCAGCCCGGCTCCACCAGCCCCTTCTGCAGCCAGCTGCCTTCACCCTCAGGCAGCCCCGGCCCGAGGGAGCCCCGCCACCGCCTGCACCACCCAAGGGCCGGCGGGGCAAAACCCAGACCCCGCCCGAGGGCCGGCGGCGCGGGCACGGCCCGGGGGTCTTCGAGGGCCTGCAGGCCCGAAGGGGGAGGCTGAGCACAGCAGCGGCCGCCCAGCAACGCCTCCCTGCCGTGCTGCTTGGCGCTCCCCGCGGACACGACGGGGGGTGCGGGAGGAAGCGCGGCCCGTCCATCCCGCGGGAGGAGGAGCGCGGCCCGTCCATCCCGCGGGAGGAGAAGCGCGGCCCGTCCATCCCGGGGAGAGGAAGCGCGGCCCGTCCATCCCGGGCATGGCGCAGGGCCCGGGCGCGCGGACCGGCAGCATCCCCCGCGTGCGGCCGCTACCCGGAAACGGAAGAAGGCTCACGCCGATCGCCCCCCGAGCATCCCGAGCAAAGCCCCGCCCCGGGTCAGTCTGATCAATCGCGTCCAGGGAGGGGCGGGAATAATCGATCCACGTTGGATTGACAGGTCTCTCTCCCAATGCAGCCGCAGCCGCTCTGTTCCCTCCACTAGGAAAGCGGAGCCATCTCTGGGTTGCTGGGCGGGACAAGTTTCGCTGTATTTCAGCGCTATTGGCTGTACAAGCTGATTGGCGGCTGCCTGCGCCTATGCGGAGGAAGCTCGCCGGCGGCCCGTCGCGCCGTGCGCCAATGGGCGGGCGGTGCGGGCGCGGTGCGGCGGTGCCGGAGCGATGAGAGCGGCGGTGCGGGCGGCGTGGCGGATCGGAACCGCCACCGCTCTGCGGGGCCGGGCCGGGCGCCCGCTCAGCCAGGCGGCCGGGGACGGCGGTGCGGCCGAGGGCGGTGGCGGCTCGGGGTCGCGGGAGGCGGTGGAGCGGCTGGTGCGAGAGCACCCGGTGGTGGTGTTCATGAAGGGCAGCCCGGCGCAGCCGCTCTGCGGCTTCAGCAACGCCGTGGTGCAGATCCTGCGGCTGCACGGCGTGGAGGATTACCGCGCCCACGACGTGCTGCAGGATCCCGACCTCCGCCAAGGTCAGCGCCCGGGTCACCTCTGGGTGCCGCCTCCCCGGGGCCTGGTGGGGGACAGAGCCGGGCCGGTTCCCGTGTGGGAAGGGCCCTCGGGAGCTGCCGGAGGGCGAGCTTGTCTTCACGCCCCGACCTCGGGCACTGTGGGAGCGGGCCCTGCCCGCTTGTCCCAGCTGTAACTTGCCTCTTCTGGCTTTGTTGGGTGGGCTGCGTTGGGCTCTGTTATTTTTTAACGAGGCTGGATGGGGGGAGAAGGGCAGCGGAGCTGGGGAAGGGTCTGGGGCTCGTGTCCTGTGAGGAGCGGCTGAGGGAGTTCGGCGGTGTTTGACCTGGAGGAGTGCCGTGGTGCGTGGGACCAGCGGCCTTATTACTCTCCACAACTGCACGTACGGAGGTTGTAGCCAGGTGGGGATCGGCCTCTTCTCCCAGGCAACAAGCGGCAGGACAAGAGAACAGCTGTAAGTTGTGCCAGAGGAGCTTTAGGTTGGATACTAGGAGGAATTTCTTCACAGAAAGGATGATCAGGCATTGGGATGGGCTGCCCAGGGAGGTGTTGGAGTCACCGTCCCTGGAGGTGTTTAAGGAAAGATTGGTCTTGGCACATAGCTAAATGGTCCAGTTGACAAGATGGTGTTCAGTCATGGGTTGCACTCGATGATCTCAGAGGTCTTTTCTAACCTAATTAATTCTGTGGTTCTGTTTGGGTGTTAGTAGAACTGCAAGTGTATCACAGAGATGTGCCATTGAGGTTGCTGTTTTGTGACCCTCGTAGTGTTCGGGAGGTCTCAGTTATCAGCAGAGCGCAGTTGTGTGTGCAGGGTGATGATTGGAGATCGGGCTCTTTGTGCCATGCTGCCTTGCCTGGGTCACAGATAGAGAGCTGCATTAAAGACCCCTGAAATACTTCATTATCAGGTTTTGTCTTCCCTGTGAAGAGTATGGTGAAATTTCACGTATGGTTTGGACTTGCATTACTTGATTCCCAGCTGGTACTGCCTGCTGGGATTCCCTTGACAATGTACAAATTTATGCTAATCATTTGCACAAGAAATACTTAGTAATAGTTTCACCATTACTGCACAAGTGGTAGTAGCTATTCTGTATAAGGGTTTTTTGCCAGTTGTGGAAAGCTTGAAATCTGTTCTGGTAATGCTTTTCATATTTCCCTCTTCAGTGAACATAGCTGATGGTTGAGGTTTTATGTGGTTATTAGAGAAAGTTTTAAAACAAAATAATACCTGCAAGTAATGTGTGTGGCATTAACAGTTCTTGCCCATAATACACTAAAATGTGCTGTAAAGCCATGTGCTGGCATGTGTCAGGTGACTTTGTTCTCCTTTGTATTTGATGTCATCTGACTAACTCAGTTTTTTATTAGCTCTTAGCTAAAAGGCTGATTTTTCCAGTCCTTGTTTACTTTTCAATTCACAGCTATAATAGTTGGTATGGTATAAAATCTTAGATACTGGAATTTCTGTGTAATGACATCTTTTGTTAACGAAGGTTCATTTTGTTCAAGTAGATCTTCCTCTGCCTTTGCAAGTGAACAAATCATGGTAATTTTCTAAACTTTGTTTACATATCTGAATTTATTAGTTATACAGTTTGCTAGTACAACTCTTATCTCTTCCCACAATTCATAAACTAAAAAGGAGGAAACAAAACCCTGAAATCTAACCATCAGCATTTCACTTTTGGTTGAGGGGGCTTTTGTGAGCCTCTGAATGGGCAGTGCCTTTATAAGTTATAGTCCCTGAGCACTTGGCCATGTGAATAGATAGTATTTTCTTTCTGTGTAACTTAAATTTTTCCTCCATATGAACTCAGGCTTGTGCTAGGCAATGAGAGAGGTTATTGCCCTCCTGGCTACTAGAGCTTTTAACTGAAATTAGTGTCTTGATCAAACCCTCCAGTGTCTAAGCTACATAGAATGCAGTTACGGAGTGTACCTTTGCACAATATCCTGCTGGTTCTCAGGTGCTTAAAGGAGTTGTTCTGGTCCTTTCCATGCACCAGCTTTGGCACCTGTCCAACTGTGCAGAGGGCCAGCTCATCTTATTAACTGGATCACTGGGCCTGCAAGTTGAAGCAGCAGTTTGTGCAGTGAGCTGAGTGCCACAGCCAGCATGAAGAGCAGAGCTTTGAAGAGCTGGAGAATGACACAGCC